CATAATGCAACGCAAGCCTGACGTCAATAAAAGAAGTAGTGTGAAGTCATTGTCCCATGCATGGGTTCTCATACTTGTGTTGTCTTCGGTATTGGAGAGTTTCGGTGCACAATTAACCGAATCTCTTCAGTGAAAAAGAGGATTTAAATTTGTCGCGTCATAAAATATATACATGTTAAAAATTATATGTAATTAAAAAGTTAAGGTAAATTTGAAGACTATGACAATAATGAAAAGTCGAACAATTGACACAAATGAAAAAATCAAAGACACACACAAATGGAGATTGACATAAGAAATCAATGGTGGAAGTGATTACTTTCTTCAGTGAAAAGATTTTGAAATTAGTGGCTGAATTGAAGCTTTGTTGAAAAGTTTTGATCGTACATTTAAATATATGTAAATAATATATACATACACGCGTATACTAATTAATGGAATATGTTAGGAATTTTATATGAAGTAAAAATTGTAAAAATAAAAATATATATTTTTTGAATTCGGACTATGTCCATTGAGTATGGTGTGAGTAGTAGTGGTGTAGACTCACTCCACCTTATGAAAGGTGACAATTCAACGTCATTTATTGTAACTTTTGGACAATTTAGTAATTTAATATCGGTGAGTCTAAACTAACAACCGTGTGTGAGTTTAGGTGCAATTTCGCACTCAAAAACTAGTGACACTAGAGTGTCACGGAATTACTAAACTTCAACAAGAATCAAGATCATCCACTACACACACCTATGACTATGAGACATAACATTGCGTTTTTAATTATCAAAAACAAGACTTTTATGTAACGTTTTCTTAATCTAATGATTGGAGGCATCAACTCCAGACACTGTTCACAAAATAAAACGCGTGGTTGGTGAAGGGTATACAGTTCAAATGTTATGTCTTTAGAAAATTACTGCAGCATGGAATTATATTATTGGAATTGAAAATGGTAAAATTGAAGAAAAATTTAATTTAAAATTATATATATATATTTCAATTCCAAACCGCCCATGGTCAGCAGAAATCTAATCTCCTCTATGTTTCCACAAATTATAATCACTTTATTTGAGGTAGATAGTGATCGAAATTGTTGTGTATTTTGCATGACTCTTTTACATAGAATTTTTTCTCTTTTCTCTTTCTCATTTTATTATACAGATCAACTCTATTGTAAAAGTTATGTTAAGCAGGTTTGTAAAGGTCTAGATAACACATAATGGCTGGAGTTAAAAATAATTAGTTAAAATTTTTTGTGTAAATCTATGACACACAATATTTACATTAAAAAAAAAAAAAATAGACAACCATTGAAAATACTCGGTGTTTTCCTGGTTTGTGCGGGAGAAATTTTGGTTTGGTTAGTCCTTGGCATTTAGGAATGAAATATTAGTATGATAATGGTTATTTAGACTTTCTTTTAATGCATTTGAAAAAATTTAGAAAAATACAAAAGTAAATAATAGATATTTTTTATACCTTTTCAAAGAAACAACTTCTATACTCCCTTGTTCTCAACCCTCAATCCTCAAACTTCATTTTGGAAGATAAAGATGTATCTTATAAAATTTGATTTGGAAGGAAAAAAATTATTCTACCATATTACAAGAAAAAAAGAGAGGAAGGAGCTTATCTTATTGTTAATAAAAGGGTAAGAAGAGAAGTTTACTATTGAGTTTACTATTTGATATTGTATTGACTATTATTTTGAAAAATGGAAGGTTTTGAAAAGATTAAGAGCAGGCCAAGCACAATTATAAATGTCCCAAAATTAACTCTTGAATCATGGAATTTCGCAAGGGAGAAGATTGAGGTTGTGTACTCAAAAGGGTAAGAAGAGAAAAGGAAGGAAAAGTTTACTATTTAATATTGCTTTGACTATTATCTTGAAAAAATGGAAGGTTTTTAAAATAATTAAAAGATGATTGAATACAGTTACTAATGTCACAAAATCAATGCTTGTATCATGTAGATTTGATAAGGGTGGCAAATTACGACACGATACGAACCCGATACGAGTTAAAAGGGTTTGAGTTTGGCATAAGCGGATTTAGGTCATAAAATGGTCGACATGATTAATTCGTTTACTTAACCGTGTCCGGTTAGGGTTGAGGAATTCAACCTGTATAACCCGCTTATAACCCATTTAACTCAACATGTTATAATTGTGATTATGACTTATGTAACATGTTACATGTTTAAACTCAATTATTATGAATAGTTAAGTCATTTCAATATAAACTTTGTTTATGTCTTATGATTTTTCTTTTAATTTTGAATATTTGGGTTAATTATGACAATTTTTTCTATTATTTAGTATTTGATTAAATATTAAATGTCTCGTTTTAATAAACAGGTCATTAAACGGGTTAACACGTTTACCTGTTTAATAAACGGATTGGGTTAGTGTTGAAATTTTTAGTATGATTATTAAATGGGTTGGGTTTAGGTTTATCTATTTAGTATAATACTCTTACATCGATACGACACGAACACGACTCCGAATAACTCTTTCTCGGCTTGGGCAAAATAGCAGAGCAAGTACAAGTATTGGTAGCATAACAAAAATGCGTTCCTCGTCATTAATATGTTTGCTCGCGATAATTGTGGGCTCAATAGAATTGTTTTTAACAGTTTTTCACAAGAAATTTTTTTTTTATCTTTATCTCTAGAGTCTCGAAGGAAAGATTTTTCTTTGACGAAATTTTTTCTATTTTTTTAGTTAGAATTGGTCGGTCGTACCTAATCCACTAATCTAATATGAATAACTCGCTATTCACTCGGTTCTATTCACTCGGTTTTGGGGTCATAATTATTATGGAGGAGAAATGGCCGAGTGGTTCAAGACGTAGCATTGGAACTACTGTGTAGGCTTTTGTTTACCGAGGGTTCGAATCCCTCTCTTTTCGCACCTTCACTTAATTTACCGATGTTAGTGACCGTAATGTATCAAATAGCAATGTATATCATTGTTCCAACAGTTAGATCGTTCTCTTATATAGATTCTTTATTCCTAATTGCGGTGAGCCGGAAAAAATACTGGAAAGGGCCCTAAGATTTGATAAGAGATTTCGTAATATGAACGGTTGAGATTGTGCACTCGCTGCACTTTTTATATTACGACAGTGCACAACCTCAATCTTCAGATCACGGAAGTAGCCTGTCAAATGTCAATTCTCTCTCTCTCTCTCTCTCATCTCTCTCTCTCTCTAATAGAAAGCTCAAGTCCTTTGTCAAGTCTAGGAAGAAGGTCACTGCATTCCCATTTCCACCAATGTAGAAAGAGAGAAGTGAACAAAAACATAGTAATATCAGTTACCAATTTAGAAGCTGCCATACAAGTATCCCCACCTTGTCCCCTATGAAAGGGAGACATACAAGCATAGACGCCCAAGGACGCAGACTAGCAAACAGAAGCTAATAATCTAATAGGAGACTTCATTGCTTTTCTGTTTTCTCTTTATTTCTTTAATATTGATTTTATTTTGTGATTGACAAATTACCATGCATAGAATAAAACAATCAAGTTTTATTTATTTTATTTTATCTCCGTTATAGTTTTTCCCCTTTCTTCTGCCTTGGCTGTGTAGTATTTAGAATGACCAAATTTTCTTCAATTTTAATTCTAAATTTATTTGATTTGATTTTAGTTTGTTTCAATTATAGTAAGGGTGTGTTCAGCGTGAAATTGAAATATTGGAATTATAATTTTTAAAAAAAATTAATTCAATTTTCTTAATTATTTTTATCAAATTTCACAAATTATAATTTCAAAACTTCAATTCCATACCATCCAAAAAAATAAAAAATAAAAATAGTTTCAAACATTTATTTACTCTCTCGCCTAAATGCTATCCTTCCTCTTTTCCAAGCCTGGTGTATAAAGCAACTGCGAATTCAATAAGACACAGATAGAGAAGGCATTTACTTTCAGATCCACTTTATTTAGATTCCATAAAACTTAAAGACGCCTTTCAATTATTTTCTTTCTTAGACCTTATTTGGATACATATAAGAGAAAATAAAAAAAATAATAATATTAATTATGAGAAAAAAAAAAAAACAATAATCTTTATAGAGTTATCTCACCCTATCTCCTCTTTCTCACACACACACATATATATATTTTAACCAACCAAACAGACACTCATTATCATTTATTTTATTTTTTCTAATTATCCTTCCAAATCTATCATATCTAAACGTAGCTTACAGTGAGAGTGAGAGCCGGGTGGAGTTCATGGTCCTTAAAAAGTCACCAGGGGTGCATTAATTCTATATTTTAATATATTTAATTTTATTTCTTAACACATTTATGCTATTTTTGATTATTTTAATTGTCAAATTGGTCTGAAGTACACAAAGTGGGAACGAGAGTAATTTTAAGAATTAGAAAGCCACAAATCTAAGCCTGACATAGTGGGAGCTAAAGTGTGAGCGTGCGAAGTGTGTGACAGTTGTAGCTCCTGAGAGAGTCAATTTTAAAGTGAAAGTGATAAAATTTAAATCTCATAGAGTAGAAATTAAAGTAAGAGCGAGAAGGTATCGCACAAGTATGTGTGAAACGTGAGACCGCTACCCACTTAAAAAGAATTTTGTAAGTTAAAATATGACTGAAATAAATAGATTTAATTATTTTTAAACACATATATTTATACTATTTAACACATTTAATTGTTTTTAAGTTTTGTCTTTTAACCCATCAAATCTGACCGAATGAAATAAGTAGTTTTTAACGGCTTGAGAATATAGAGATTTAATCGAAAAATCCTTCAGTACACAGAATGGATCAGAGCTCCTTAAAATCGCCAGAATTACCGTGGGCTCGTCTGATGTGATTGATTTGATTATTCAACTGTCGTTGAATCATGTGATCTTGCCCTCTCCTTGTCACCACACAACGTGCTCTTGTCTCTCTCTAACTCTGGAGACTGAAGTGTCGAAATGTCTGTCTATTTATTGGCAAAAGTAAATTTTTTTTTGAGTTCTCTCCTACCTTTTTTTTGTCCTTTCTCATCAACCACTATTTCAGCCTCAATGCCCTTTGGCCCTGCACATTTCATGCCTCAATTGGGTCACTTTGCTTTCCGTTTTCTCACTGCGTTCCTGACGTTACACGAATGTCATTCTTCTGCCTAAAAACATTGATCTTGATAAAGTTCTGTTTCCCATGTGGGTTTCTTGTATAGTGTGAATGTGCCTCATTATTTATCTATTTTTATCTCTTTCTGGTGCTGGAGTAAAGTAGTGATATGGGTTGGTGTTCTTGGGTGTCTCTTTCCTCTTCAATATATTCTTCATTTTCTGTTTGAAATTTCTCTTTTCTGGGTATATACCATCTACATTTTCACTGCTTCAGTGAGGATCTGCACCTAATTTTAGCTGTCTCTGACAAAAAAGGTTCAGAGCGAAGCTTGAAGCCTGCAAAACATGGATCTTGACTATGGCAAGTGTTGGAGAAGTTCAAAGGTTTGCCCATTCACCTTTTTTTTTTTTTTTTTTTCAATTAACAGAAATCTGCTCTTTCCAATGATTATAAGCCCAAATCCCTTTATGGGTATCTGGGTATTTTGCTCTTTTTATAGATAAGATTTCATTTCTTAAAATTGGTGAATATCTCTGTATGTGTGTGTCTTTTTGTGTGTTTATCATAAGATTTTTACTATGCACTCTTGAGTGAAATGTTCTTAGAAAAATGTTTAGCCAAATTGCATTCTTTTTATAGATAAGATTTCAGTTCTTAAAATTGCTGAATATCTGTATGTGTGCGAGTGTTTATCATAAGATTTTTACTATGCACTCTGTAAGTGAAATGTTCTTAGAAAATTGTTTGCTAAATTGCATTTTCAGAAGGATTCTTGGAAGACAACACTGCTCTTAGCATATCAGAGTCTTGGTGTAGTCTATGGGGACTTGAGCATTTCACCTCTCTATGTCTACAAGAGTACATTTGCAGAAGACATTCATCACTCGGAGACAAACGAAGAGATTTTTGGTGTTCTTTCGTTTGTTTTCTGGACTCTAACCCTAGTTACTTTATTCAAATACGTTTTCGTAGTCCTTAGAGCTGATGACAATGGGGAGGGTAAGTAGGGTGTACCAGAAATTTTTGGGATATTCTAATTTTGGTCATGAGGTTGAAATCCTTTATGGTGATTGTGCAGGTGGTACTTTTGCCCTCTATTCCTTGATATGCAGGCATGCTAAAGTGAGCCTTTTACCCAATCGGCAAGTCGCGGACGAAGAACTCTCGACGTATAAATTGGAGCACCCTCCGGAGAAGGGGAACAACTCAAGGTTAAAGTTGTTGCTTGAGAAGCACAAATTTTTACACACTGCTTTGCTAATTTTGGTTCTTCTTGGCACTTGTATGGTAATTGGAGATGGACTGCTTACTCCAGCAATTTCTGGTACTTCTTTTTCCTGTTAAGCATTTTTTGTTTAATTGTTTGTGCAACTGTCTCTTAATTTGCTGATTAACAATATGTTTCTCTGTGCAGTTTTTTCGGCCGTGTCTGGTCTCGAATTTTCCATGTCTAAAGAACACCACCATTGTAAGTTTTTGTTCTTAGTGCCTGTAGTTAAGCCGAAATTGAAACTTTATGCAGTTATTAAGATCAAGAAAATTTATATGAACTATTGAAGCAGAAAATACAACTAGCATCTTGATTAGCTCATGGTTTTCTTCAAGTTCATTTTCAAATAGCTCTACTTTATTTTTTTTTTAACAATAAGAAATAACACAAAACCATCATATCTTTAAAAATGAAGGAGAAAGAAGTGCTGTTGTCCACATTTTTTTTTTCTTTATCTGGTGATGCAGAAAGAAATATTATCTTTTTTTTATTAATTTCAATCAGTAATTTTGTCTGTTCGTCAGTGCTTACCCTGTTTATATTTATGCTTTTCTCATATGCTACTTAATTTTTATTTATCATACCATTTTTGGGATCACCCACCTTCTGCTGAGCAGGTGTCTGGGTGAGGCTAAAACTGTGTCTTGTTTAATTCTAAGATTTTCTTTTGTTGTAATTGTAGTTCTAATTTAGAGTGAACTGGCTAAATTTGACAAAATTATTTATTTTACATAGAAAAGTCATGTGTTATATGATTTCTAAAATTAGAACTGATTATTGGATAGGAGATCCCTTGGTCACTCTGATTCAGCAAGTGAAAAGTTATAGGCCTACACTACAGTGCAGGGGACATCTAAATTGTCCAGGACATAACTTTTATCGTTGTTGAAGCTACATATGCATTTTTTTCTACTTTATTGGAGCGATTCTAATCTGTAAAGTTCAAATACATTCGAGTTGTGTTTATCTTCTGAATTTATCTCAGAAGTTGTACTTCAATACTGGCTGCATCTTTTTATGATCTTTTCTATATTGTGCTTGTACGCGTGTCTAACAGAAAAATGAAGAGAGATGTAATACTTTAGGAATACGGGGATTGAATTTTACTTCGACCTAATTAAGTTTTTGTTTGAGGGATCATATTTTAAAATCAGACACACCCTTATTAAGAATAGATGCCCAACTTAGAAAATGTTTATATGGGATTTACCTTCACCAGGTACTTCATGATTTTAAATTTTTGTTCTGAGATTTTCAGGCATAAAATGTTCCGTCTTGCTATGAACATGTATATATATTTTTTGTTTGAGGTTTTTCTTTGTCCATTCCTTCCTTTTACATCTATTTTTATGTCTCCATTTGCAGATGCGGTGACTCCAATTACTTGTTTCATATTGGTGTGTCTATTTGCACTACAACATTATGGCACACATCGGCTTGGTATCTTCTTTGCACCGGTTATCTTAATTTGGTTGCTATGCATAAGTGCCCTTGGCTTGTACAATATATTCCACTGGAACCCACTTGTCTATGAAGCTCTTTCCCCGTATTACATGTTCAAGTTCTTGAAGAAGACAAGAAAGGGAGGATGGATGTCTTTGGGTGGAATTTTGTTGTGCATAACAGGTAAAATAGAAAACACTTGCCTGAGGTTAATTCGCTCATCTTTTCCATTTCATTAGTCCAGCAAGTGTGATGAGTTCTGTGTGATGCCGATGTTACAAGATATTCCATTGGTGTCAGTGTTCAATAGAGATTTGACACATCTGGCAGGCAACCTCCATAATATCCAAAATGCTATTTTATCAGCATGTGATGCACAAGTCCACACACGACAAAAATGTCCAAAATAGCTATTGTTTCATGTGGCAGAATGTTTAAATAACTACAGATATAGTTTATCTTTTGCCTGCAGGAGTTTGAGAGAACAGTTACTGTAATTAACAGAAATTGAAACAAATATTGTTTGTATATTTATCTTTTTTCTGGTGAGTGAGTGAGTGTGTATATAACAAAGACACTCAGTGAAAACCAAACATTGCCAATCCCAATGGGGCAAAAAGTAAACCCAGCAGCCTAAAAGCTATAAAAATATATAAGCAAGGCCACCCAAAAAAAAAAAAAAAAAACTAGGCTTCCTAAGAATTGGTGGACCAGTTGGGGATTGGGGAATCCCACTACCTACTAAGGCCCAATCATTTGTCTTTTTGGCCTCCATTCAATAACTTAATACTAAAAAGTTGGTAAATTTTGTTTTTTGCCAATGATCAAAGAAGTCAGAACTGTGAAGTTCCAGATAATCAGGATTTATCTGTCATACGTAATTGGCTTGACATAAGTGATGTTTGAAACTTTACTCTTGTGTGGTGCATGTTCAAGGTGGTCTGTTCTATCATTGGACTGGTCTAAGCAGTCAGAACTGCGAAGTTCCAGATAATCAGGATTTATCTGTCATACGTAATTGGCTTGACATAAGTGATGTTTGAAACTTTACTCTTGTGTGGTGCATATTCAAGGTGGTCTGTTCTGTCATTGGACTGGTCTTCATTGGGAATGTGTCTGGTTTGACACCCTAACACCATCCAAAGTAAATTTTGTTAACAAGAATGTCAAATCTGTGTCATTTATGTGTCTTCTAGTTGGCACCAACTATCAGCACTCTCATTTATGTGTCCATAGTCCAATTTACTTTTAAAATCAAAGGTTTTTGGATAATTTTGAATGATGCAGAACTCTAGAGTAGTTTGAAAGTAAAAGTAGCTTAAGTACCAAGAATTGCCAACACTTTTTCTGACTGTATTTGCAGGCTCGGAGGCAATGTTTGCTGATCTTGGCCACTTCTCATACGCTGCAATTCAGGTAGCTCTAGTCGGAAAATTTAATTTCACCATGAAAATGTTGTGGCCTACTACATTCTTTCAACACATGGAAAGGTCTCTTCCTTGCATATATCAAAAAATTGACGAGACGCTGTTCAATTGCAGATTGCTTTCAGCTTTCTGGTTTATCCAGCACTTATTTTGGCATATATGGGTCAAGCTGCTTACTTATCAAAGAATCATCCCACCAAATACCATATAGGTTTTTATGTCTCCGTTCCAGGTATACGTCCTGCCATTTTTGAACAATGTCATTTTTTAACAACAATGTCATTCGACTGCAATATGTTATCAAACACTACCCATCTCAAATAGCTGGAAATATTTTGTCTTATGAGTTCTAATCTACACCATAAATTTATACTTTCTTCATAAGTCATTTTGGAATTGGTTTTTTGTTATTTCTAGTACAAAAGATCAAACAGGAATTTTGTTTTGGCCCAGCTGAGTAGCGCTTACCTATTATCATATCTCTTCCTAAGATTAAGGAAGTTTAGCTAACAATCACTTTAGGAAGATAGTAGGCATTATGGAGACTGTTTTTCTTCCTTTATAATGGAATTGTCCGAGACATCTAGTGCTGTAACCTCAGGTTTACCTGAAGTATTTGCGCTGAAAATGTGAGGTGCAAAGTTTGAGCTTGGAATTTTTATTATAGCCAAGCACAAATTATGCCCTAAGGATAATCACTGGTCTAGTCTGAATTGCCCCAGACTCATCTTACTATCTTCCTTCATGCCCCCATGAGTACGAACTTATTTTATTTTATTTCCTTATTTTTTTGGCTGAGATAGTTAGTAAAAATTTGAACATGTGGTTTGATTGAGGTTTTGACCTTGGATAGAGCAGGATGGCAAAATGGGATTCATGTTGTTGACCCCAAATAATTGGTAAAATGTTTTGTTGAGTTGAGTTGAGTTTTTAATCAGAATTTGTGAGCATTGAGCATTAGGTGCACATGGAAGAACGTGCTAATTCGCTAGCAAAACAACTGATTAATTTTATTGTCTCGTAACACTTGGTTATCGCTTCAGAGTCTCGAGATAGTGTCAGATTCTTAACTGTAGCTTCATATTTTATTGCCTCAATCCTCAAAACACCCATTTTCCATAATGTTGATTGGTTGGTGTGGAAGGAACTGGAAAATGACCTACTGATGTTTAATCAGATATTGCCATTTCATCTGGGTCATATCCAATTTGACTTGGCTACAAATGACTTGCAATATCTTAATCTGATATGACACATGTATTTACAGAGTCTGTGGTTGCGTAAGGTACTAGTATATTTGCCTGCTATTAATGGTTGCAACTCTTGCATACAGATACTGTGAGGTGGCCAGTGCTTATAATAGCAATCCTTGCTTCTGTTGTTGGAAGCCAAGCGATCATTAGTGGAACGTTCTCCATCATCAACCAGAGTCAATCACTCGGTTGTTTTCCAAGAGTCAAGGTTGTTCACACTTCTGATAAGATACATGGTCAGATTTACATTCCTGAGATCAACTGGATACTTATGATTCTCTGTGTTGCTGTGACCATCGGATTCAGAGACACAAAACACATGGGGAATGCATCAGGTACATTATGCTTACAATCAAATTGATGCTAATCTGTTTCAATTTCAAGTCTTCACTCTTCAATAAATCTTGAAAAAGATGCACACACACACTCAATCCTTCGACTAACCAAAAGACAACTGGAAAAACTTCCAATTTCACTTGAGGATAATACTTAAACCATGCTCATGATAAAAACAACAAATAGTTCATTGTTAGATCTTATGTATTGTCTAGCATAAGGGTAATTTTTTCCCCTGGCTTCTAAGATAAATACATTGGTTATTTACCTTGGGTAGAAGGTTTGTTCAACTGGCATTTAGTTAGCAACTGCAATATTGGTTTTTTACCATGTTAATTAAGGGAGCTCTTTTGCTTCAATTATCACAATCTTAATTTTAATCCATTTCAGGGTTAGCAGTGATGGCGGTAATGCTAGTGACCACATGCCTAACTTCCTTAGTGATCATCCTTTGTTGGCACAAACCCCCTATTGTAGCTCTTTGCTTCCTACTCTTCTTTGGCTCTATTGAATTACTATACTTCTCAGCTTCCCTAGTCAAGTTTCGTGAAGGTGCCTGGCTGCCCATCCTCCTAGCCCTCTTTCTTGTGACAATCATGTTTGTTTGGCACTACGCCACCATAAAGAAATATGAATATGACCTCCACAACAAGGTTTCATTGGAATGGCTGTTAGCCTTGGGCCCGAGCTTGGGCATAGCTCGAGTCCCTGGCATTGGCCTAGTGTTCACCAATCTCACCTCTGGCATCCCTGCAAACTTCTCTCGCTTTGTCACCAACCTCCCTGCCTTCCATCATGTCCTCGTCTTTGTGTGTGTAAAATCAGTACCCGTCCCTTTTGTGCCTCCAGCTGAACGGTATCTTGTGGGCAGGGTGGGTCCTGCAGCTCATCGGTCCTACAGGTGTATTGTCCGTTATGGATACCGTGACGTTCATCAAGATATCGATTCTTTTGAATCTGAACTTGTTGACAAGCTGGCTGATTTTATCCGCTATGACTGGAGTCATACACAAGGGATCAATAATTCTTATAATGAGGATGATGAACTTCAGTATGTTGAATCATCCAGTGATGCTAGATTGGCGGTGATAGGAACAGTGGCGCACTTTGAGATTGATGAAAATGTGCAGCCAGCAAGTGTCTCTGTTGAGTTCTCAACAGTGGAGAGTATAACAGATGTCATTGAGATGGAACCGGTTGGTGTAGTGGAAAGGCGAGTGAGGTTTGCAATTGACGAGTCTGAACCCGATGCAGAGCCTGAAATAGATGTGCAAATGCGCGAAGAGCTACAGGAGCTGAATGCGGCTCAACAAGCTGGGACTGCATTCATTATTGGGCATTCACATGTGAGAGCAAAGCAAGGATCTTCCCTTTTCAAGAGGCTGGCAGTCAATTTTGGGTATAATTTCCTGAGCAGGAATTGCCGGGGGCCAGATGTATCGCTCAAGGTGCCTCCAGCGTCTCTCCTTGAGGTTGGCATGGTTTATGTTGTGTAAACTACAAATGTAAGTTGTGTTTTGTTAGATCACATCATTATATAATGCATAATGAAAGAGATGTGCTAGGAAGGTTTTTTGTGCAGATAAACAAGGACCAGTGTCATGGATTAGAGAAAGTACACTCTTTCCAATGTTGATGTACTTGGCATCATAAGAATGAAAAAGTGAATAGCAAATCTCTTTGTTACTGATTTTTTTTGTGTGTGCGTGTGCGCGTGTGTGTGTGTGGTATATGCTATGTTCTTGATTATATGGTGCGGAAACTGTCCACTTTGTAGCTTATTTCTTTTTCTTGCCATCTGAAAAGGAAATAAAAACATTGGAGAGGAATTTCTGATAATTTGAAGAAACTGTCCACTTTGTAGCTTATTTCCTTTCAAGAGGAGCATTCAGGTGTCCAATGAAGATTTTCATTTCTCCGTTGTATAATATTATAATCATTCTCTGCACTATAATTTTTTAAAATGAAAAAAAATGAAAAGTATTCGTTTCCAGAAAATAAAAGTTGGAATGAAAATTTGTGGTTATTTCTGTGTTTTTTTTTTGGGTGCCTTATGAACTTCAACCATTGATTCTGAACAAGATATTTTCTTTGCTACAAGTCAAGTTTGCTCATTTAAAAATTCTTGCTAGTGTGACCAAAGTTATTGAAACCCAATATTGATCTCAAATTCAAGAGTCAGGCAAATGACCACGTAGTGTCTGTCATCCACCACCAATTTCTCTGAGTGGCAGCCATGTCATTCAAACTAACACGTGGCAGCAATCTAGTGGTTGAACTAAAAAAAGGCACACCCACACAGATATTACCCATTTCTTCTCAGATTCTCCCACAACAACATATAAGGTGCAAAAAGTCCTGAATCTTTAGTGCCATTGGAGGAGGAAAACATGGGTCTTAAGGCTCTTCCTTTGTCACCTTCACATAATGGGTTCCTCCCTAAGTTGGGTGTTTCACAGAACTGGTCTAAGCAGAGAGTTCAGAGTCTTGATAGGACCTCCAGATTCAGTGTAGTTTCAGCCAAAGTAGAGAAGGGTAACAAGGAAGAAGAGCCCAAAAAGAGGAAGCAGAATCTGTTTGAGAGTGTAACAGAAGCATTGGATTTTTCTCAGGTTAGGTCAGAAGAAGATGCCATGCTTCTTGATGATGCTAGAGAAGCCACCAAATCTGGAGGTAAAATGAGCAAGGAACAGGTAAATCAACCAAGTCTTTAGCAACAAACAATTTTTTTTACTATTTTATTTATTTATTTTTTGGAACCGAGAAACACCTTTGGCACACAAGGCTGCATGTGCTTACCTGTACATTGATTTATTTGATTGATGCAGTATGGAGCTCTTAGAAGGAAAATTGGAGGGACATACAAAGACTTCTTCAAATCCTACGTTGATGGTGATTATACTTCAACTTTAGTCATCTTTTAAATATATTTACATCACCCATTTAAGAACTTTTTCTTAACCTAATTTTTTTAAAAAAAATTTACTTGAAAATAGTGGATGGGCAATATGTTGAAGAAGGTTGGGTGGACAAAACTTGCAAAGTCTGCAAGAAAGATACCAAGGGTGAAGCAAGGCAAGTGGACAAGTTTGGAAGATATGTTCATGTAGAATGTTTGGAGAAATCCAAATCTGGAAACTTTTTTACCAGACTCTTCTCATTGTAACACTACCTTTTTTTTTTTTTTTTTCAAATTTAGAAAGCATTAGTAGTATGTTCAACATGGAGGGAAAATGACCTTTAGATGTCATTACTGTGCACCAAGGAATCCATTGTTTGTTGTTCAGATTGCAATGAAACACAGCAGGTCAGACATGCTGTTTATGTTATTGTACTGTATGTATGTATCTTTTTTCTTTTGTTAATCTTGGCAAATTAGGGGGATGGGGAGGGGGAGGACTCAAACACGGAAACACCCGCATGAGGGGCTGGGCTCTCTATATCTTTGGATTCAGACTGAATTCATTCATTCTGAGTGAAGGAAAATGTAACAGGACTTTTAACTTCAACTTTCACAAATCAAGCAAGTTGAATAGGCATTAGTTGAATTTTGATGCCTAGTGCAACATACTTGTTTGATGCTACAATTTTGCCGCATTTCACAAGTAGCTAGAGAAAAAGCAAAGGGCACCCCAAGTACCAATTATGGTGCCAGAACCAGGATGGTCCTTGATCAGCTTTTGTAATACCCCCACATTTCCACATGTAGGCTGGCCAGGCCCACACCCGAAAACATGGGAATATCAAAACAATATAGTACTTAAACGAACACAGAATATAAAAAAATGATTAAATCGCTGAATGGAATTCTATTAATAAAATTAAATCTCTTTTACAAAAATATTTCCATGAGTTTCAAATTCTGAAAATATTATACAACTCGGGAATCCCATAAGTTAAGGACCCCTAAACCAAAATCTCATAAACCACCAGTTTATACAAAACATTTAACAATAATTAACTATACTAATTAAAGGTAAACAAGATGAGTAGATGAATGACAGTCTCCCAGCTGCGGATCCTCAACCTCGAGACTGGAACTTCTAATAACCTGAAAAATAAATCGTGGGTTAGACCCACGAGCAAGTTCCCTCTACCAAGCCTCTGAAAACCAATAAATAAAGCATCTCTAACCAAAATCATCCTAATTAAAATTTTAACCTTTAATATAAGATGATACAAATTTATATAAATAATTATATATAAATACAATAATCCTATCCATTAATAGGTTCACTAAATTTGTTGAAACCAATCACCAACGATTAATTATCAATCATACCTAGACCAAATCCATCATTTATATTTATTTTCCAAAACCAATAATGATTATAAGTATTTACATCACACCGTTAGGCTTTGACAAATCATCCATGTCACCACTAGTATTATTTTGTTAATATGTATAAAGTAATACACTATCCTGAAAGTATTAGACTATTCTAATTTAAGAATATCTAATTAATCCTAATCCAACCTATACATGCAATACTTATAGATGATATACTTTAATCATCTAACACATAACAATAATACACTTTGGCAAATCAACCATGCCCTTATAAATATATTTATTTATATACTGGCAACTCAACCATGCCTCCTTTAAGTATATTCATGTATAGCTTTGGCAAATCAACCATGCCCCTCTAAGTATATTTATTTATACCCTTGATAATTAAACCATGTCTAATTCATACATAAACATCTCATGCACATTATAAGCATATTACCATTTAATAATCAGTCTATCCAAATATATAAGAATAACTAATATTAATTATCTTAAATAATATATACCTATACACATATATTATATAATATATATGTATAATACCTTCCATTTATATATATATATATATATATATATATATATATATATATATATAAATACTCTCTTCCATACTAATCATAATTAAATCAAAACTCCATGTGTACACATATATACATATATATAAATATATATACACCACCCTCCATAACAATATAATATACTATTATATTTACTCCAAACAATTACTACTAATCCTCGTAGTAACACTCTATGGTTCTTAGAATACCAAGAACACCTCCTCAAGTGGTTATTTTCAACCCTCACAGGCTTAAAATCAATTCTAAAAATTCATCGGACCCCACAGGACCTTTCCGGGACTCCGAACACCTCCTCACGCGCCCCCACGCGCCGCCAAACGCGCCTAAAACTCTGGAACGCGCCTCCACAAGAAGCCACGTGGCTTCACGCGCCCCCACGCGCTCTCATGCGCCGCCCATGCACCTGATTCTTCCTCTGGCTGACGTGGCGCTCTCTCATTTGCTGGATGTAAACTGGTCCTTATGCGCGTGTCACATAGGATTAGTTCACCGCATCTCTATACACCTCCATGCACTAGCACCACATCACATCAACTCTCCTTTCAATCAGCCACATCTAAGGTTCAAATTTATGGTACATTGAACCTCCATGCACCCGCATTACACTGAATCAATCTAGTTAACTTTAAATAATCCAATGGCCAAGATCAGCTTGTGTACCAAATTCCTATGCACCGTATCACACCAGAACCTTCGCTGGTCATCAGGACCATCCCATGGTCTTGATTTGAGGCGCACCGTAGTGTAATGTACCTGACCGCACCGAATCAGAATCGTTTTTATGCACAGAGACCTCTAATTCGTGTACCCAGTATGCATATATATTATTTTTTTTTATACACATAAATAATTCTAAAAATATCATAAAAATATAAAACAAATCCAGAAAAATATAGAAAAAAATTCCGAAAATTCTAGAAAAATTCCAGAAAAATAATTAACCCTTTTGGGTCACAAATTTACCTATACATTGATTTTAAAAACATATATACCACACCTATATACATAATTAAAATCCAATGAATACACAAATTAAATATAATAATTTATATATATATATTTTTTCGATCTAACATGATTTAATTAATGATTTTAAACTAAATTTTGGCACCCAAGGTGATAAATTTATGGGTCCTAAGAGGAGAGTTAGAGACAACTTGCCTGAAGATTTCGAAACGAAATCGAAGCTTTAACCTTTGATTGTCTCTTCCAATTTCGGTATCCGCTTTCTCAGATCCAGCCTATTCCTTTTCCGTTCTCTCTTCTTCTTCCCTCTTTGTCTCTTTTATTTTTCTAACGTGAAAACTTCTTAACCCTAAACCTTATGTGTATATTTATACACATTAAACCCTAAATCCTATTCCTAGTAGGATTACAAAATAAAATAATAAACTAATATTATTTAAATAATATAATATATATATATAAACATATATTATATTACTTATGCATATATATATCTCCCATAATTAACCATCGGTTAATTAAATCCTAACTCCTATATATATATATCCATAAACATATATCCTTCTGTAACCCTTATCAATTAATTATATTTATATATAATTAAATCAATAAAAATGATTATTTAAATAATCAAATACCCATTGGCCTTTATTAATTAACCCATCAAGGCTTCATCCAAGCCCAAGACCATATCCTTTGGTCCAACATTCCTTAAGCCCAAACCAATTAATCTAAATAAATAAAATAATTAAATAAATACTTAAACTAAAATACTAATTACATAAAACACATAAACAAATAAGAATTTACAACTAAGTCACATCATCTCAATACGCCACAATTCAATCAACAATTAAATACACACACATCAATCATCATATCAATTCAATAAATGTATAATCACAAAATAAAATCTAACTAAAATGAGACAATTAATCTAAACATTCAATTAAATAAAATAAATCATTTAGAAATAAAATAAAATTCATTAATTCCAATTAATAAATCCTTTAAATTATCGGGGTATTACAGCTTTGGAGTAGGCAAGTTACTAGCATGAAATATGCAGCAAGTGTACAATTTGAAGATAGTTAAGACACTTGTTATTTGTTTGCAATATTCAAAGAGAACACATGGCTAGGTGCAATGGTGGGAACAAGAAGGTAGCTTATTAAAACTGAGGCCAGAGTACTAGGATCAAAATCCTCTCACGTCACGTTTTCTCCCGTGGTTCTAAGGGGTGGGTGAGTTTCATCACTATCAAAGATGAATTTCTTCGATTCTGCAATGGTAAAATTTCACCAATTCCCAAATAGTAACAAACGATTGAAATTTCACTATTATAATAACGAAATTCTTCATTCATAATAATAAAATTCTCATAGCAGGAAACCGCGGGAGCGGAAAAATCATGACTGGAGATGATTTTGATCCTCAGTAATAAGGTTGGACCTTGCCTGAAATTGATTAAACACAAAGAACACACATAACTTTGACAGAGCCACATTTATTCATTTCCTAAACAACAGAGCAAGTGTAGGAAATCTTATTTGGTCAGTGATAAGTAAAAAAATGATGGCCTTGTCACGTGTTCTTCCCATTTCAATATAAAATAGTAATCCCTTTATTTGTAACGTAGGAGAAAATTTTTCTTTCACATTTAATACTTCGTTATCAATGCTATTAACTAATTGTATAATTTCAAATAAGTAAAAATGTCTTATTTTAGTAAATTATATCACTACATGTCTACCTGGCAATATTTAATAAGTTAGATAATATCATATCATCGCTACAATGAACTTATTTAAAATTTTCTCTTATCGTGTAACTTATTGACATGCACAACTATTATTATCATATCACATAAATTATACTATTATTCGAAAAATGAATGAATAGATCCCCTTTTTATTTCTAGGAAGGCTTTCACACACTACTGTTACAATTGTTTATGACTCCGTAATCTTATCAATACTGTTACAAGTGTGTTCTAGTGGTGTCACTATAATAATAAAAAAATTAATTAAGCTGAGTCTTAATGTAAATTGCCCTGAAACCCATTTTATAGTATCATAGCCCCAAATTGGCGGGAATCCATGTCCCCGAGACTTGGCGGGAAAATATACCTAGTTTCCTATTAGGGCGGGAAGGCAGGCAAAACAATTTCAGGGAGAGAGAGAAACGGAGAGAGATGGTTGGAGTACCGTACGATTGCCTGGTGAACCCTCTCGGAGCCGTACGATTGACATTCGAGAAGGCGGTGGCCTCAGGCTCAGATCCGGCCACTTTCAATGGCGGAGACTGGGGTGCCACCGATCTCTTCCGCGACTTCCTTTTTGATAGCGGCGGCCTCTCTCAGGTACATCTCATTTTTCTCTCACTACATCGAGATCCTGTCCTTTCGCTGTTTATTTATGTATATTGATCAGATTGCCATGTGTAGTAACAATTTTTATTGAATCTAAGGTTTATGCTTAATTTTGATAAATTGGAAGACTGAAGTGTTCATTTTCCGATTCATTCATAGTATATTTCTTTTGGACTATAACCTCCACTTCATCTTCATCTTCATCTCATCAGAATTTTTCATTAAATCGATTGCATTATCGAATATGGAATTAAACTAGGGTTTACATTTCAGTTACTTCCCTTCTTTTTTTTCTTTTTCTTTTTTGAAATCAATTTTATATTTGCTGTTAGGGGTTTTCTTAATTATAGGGTTTTACAGTTTGGTACAATTTGTAGCCAAATAAACTGTCAATTTGAGAGTGATTTGTATTGTTTAATTGGTTTAAGATGATTAAAATTATTCATTATTGTGCCTCAGTTTATCTCTCAAATTATTATTATTATTATTATTATTTTTTTTTTTATTTATTTATTTTTCATAACTGGGTTTGTGCTTTTGGAATTTTTTTATTTTATTTTAATCAATATAGTTGAATTATTGCGTTTGGTGCTGAGATAATGTAGGTACCGATAGTTAATCCTGCAAATCTCAAATGGGTTCAACCCAACACTCTAGTTCGATTTCGGGGAATGATACAAGACATGCTGGGTAATGAGTTATATGTTGGTGCCTATAAGGTATCTGACTCGTTACCTCCTTGTGAACTATCACCTTCTATTTGTCAATAAATTCTGAGCTTCTAAAGACTAAAATGGTTGGTTTTGTCCCTTAAAGGATGGGGCAATGTGGAGAACCAACAAGTTTAGTGATGTTCCTCAAGTTCCCATTTGTTCATCATCTGATATGAGGATCTGGGAACGCCGTCTGCTATATTGTGTTCCTGTAAGTTCTAATATTTTAAAAACCTCCTTTATGCGCTCTTATATATATTTTTTCCTTTTGATCTACTTATGGAACACATGCATACGCTAATTTTAATCTTTTAGAAATGGGTATTAATTCATAACGATTGTTGTTAGTGTATTAGTATTGGATGACTGCTAAACTGTAGGAACTTCCATGGGTTAACCCATTGATGATAGACCTTTTGGTTTGCTGACTCGTCTTCTTCTCAGGTACCCGGGCAGAATAAATGGACTGAATGTTCTTCTGAAGTTCTGCTAAACCAATGTACAAACTGGACATCCCCAAATAGGGATAAGCGGCAGAGGGAGGATGGGGCAGCTACTGATGACATGGATCTGCAAGTAGTTCCCATATGCTCATAATATATCCATCTATCATATTTCAGTCATTTCCTTAAGCAAATCATTTAGATAGGTTGACAGTTGACACAAATGTTTTTCATGATCGTGGAATCTTTGCAAAGGAGCAGGATAATCCTTTTGTCCTGTTTCAATAATCTAGATTGCTTTTGTTCATGTGTTGTGCGTGCGCATATAAAGTACTTTTTGGATTATTTCTAATTGTTTGGACTAGCACAAGAAATTCTTTTTATAACAAGTGTAATGGTTATTGATGTTAGTTAACTGCTTATATATTAACCTCTATCATATTGAGGTTGCATTGCCTTTTCCTGTCTATATTTGGACAGGTCTCAGATAATGAGTTGCAGGGTACTCCATGTACTAAAAAGATGGTAAGCAGAAACGATCCGTACATTGTGTGTGTGTGTGTTTTTTTATTTATTTATTTATTTATATTTATTTGGGTTAGCTTGTTTTGAGTAATAATCTAAGTTTCTACTTGGATGAGGACTGAGAAACTTCCATGGTTGTAAGATGAAAGTTCCAGAAGTCTGCATATATAAGATGATAAATATAGTACTTTATGGAGTGTAATCATGTCCCAACTCATCATCATTATTTTTGTTAAAACGTTAGATCATTATGTCATTGATGTGCTCTTGCTTTTCTTTGCACGTCCTAATCTAAATGAAAGAGGTGTGGATTCCCATCAAATTAGCAGTTGTCATACGATTCTTAAGACGCATAAATGAGTGAATTTTAATGGAATTAAAACCAACTTTTGAAAGGTCAAATGAGACGTATTTTAAGAACTTTTCGTATACATTTTTAGCAGACGTGCCCTGGAGCTTGACTAATTTTGAGGTTGTAACCATTATTCTACAAATATAATTCCTGACATGATAGATGAATTACCACACCTTTTAGATCAACCCAAATTTTAAGTTTCAGGTGAACTTTTATTTCAGTTGTCATTGACTTTTTTTTCCTTTTCCTTTTTTGGTTTTTTCTTAGCGAGGGTGTGAACCCCATTCCCAGTCTTCTCTTCAACAGGAGTCCACAATCGAGGGCTTTTCTCCTAGTATATGTATGGCTCCCGATTTTGACAGAAACTTTCTTCCTTGTCTGGTGAAGGTAAATATGGTTCTCTTTTCCCCCCTCCCCAAGTTGCAGTGTCACCTCAATGAATCACGCTCCACTAATGTTTGTTCCCACCCTATATGTTGAATGTTTTGTGCAGATATATGAGTCTCCCGAGTCTGACTTGAAGCTGAATGATGTTTTTGAGTTTGTTGGTGTTCTAACGTTTGATCTGGAGCTTACAGTGGACAAGGATGATACTGAGAATTTAGAAAATAGTTTCTGTGACGATGAATTGTCGCATTTGCCTCCTAGCAAGGTTTTGACTCCATATTCAGTTGCTAATACTTTGTATTGGACATACTATCACAGTTTTTTCTGTTTTAATTTTGTATAAAGTAAAAATAAGCTCATTAAAAATGTTATTTTATCACTTATAAGGTTGAAGCGCCAATATTTTTCAAAAGCGGCAACTCATTTTAAGGCTTTTATAAATTTCTCATAATCAAAAGTGATGGCAAATGTAGCCATACACCCTTTCTATTTCCCTTCTCTACTCAAGTCTGAAAGAAATATCTCACTTTTAAAATAAATAAAAAAATCTAACTAATACAGCTGATGAGTTTTTGTTTTACAAAGTTGAAGTGGTAGTGAATGCCAAAATCATTAAACTGGAGATGTTAAATCAAATCGAGTATTGAATCATGGATCCCAAGATTCAACTTAGTTTTTTTTTTTATGACAACTCAATAATGCTCCGAAAATTTGAAGGCTTAAAATTTGACTACAGTATTCTTTACCATTCAGAATAATGAATTTTCTCTGATTCGTAAATATGGTATATAGCTTTGGTTCTGGGAGTTTCTGAATTTAAGTCTCTCTGTCTGCTTTGTTCCCCTGTTTTGCAATATATTTTGTCTACCTGTTGATTTATCTCTCCATGCGCAAGATGGGGTCACACTTGAGGGGGCATGTGGGAGTTTGATATACATTGTTGAGTCCATTTCTTAACAGTTTAAGCTATTGGGTCAACTGGTGTTCTAACATATGGTGTATCTGGTCATCGTTGTAGGTACCACAGCTACATTGTCTTGTACATCGGAAGCTTGCAGCTCATGACTTTCTTTCTAGTTCCCCTGTGATGGAGGTAATTGGATTATACTGACCTTATCTCTGTAAAATATTGTTTGTCTCCCTAATGTTGTTTTTCGTTTTCTCTGAAGCTGTGTTCCCCTTATTTTTTTGACTAAGTTTGTATATTTTGTTCCTACAGCCAAAAACCCATTTGGTGAAAGAGTCGAGGACTGCTTTGCTGAAGCATCTCACTTCTGTTCTTGGAAATGATGGGGTGGCAGCTCATTTCATGTTGTTGCATCTTTTGTCCAGGGTATATGATGTTTTCTCATGAACATGGTTCTCAATTTTTATGTCACAAGTGATGTGGAATTCTTATATCACGGGTTTCTCGCTAACTTCTTTCAGTTCTGCATGTCTCACTATGCCATTCTTGTACCAAAACATTTTACATCAAATTTCTTATATGGAATAATAAACAGTTTAATTGTTGCAGGTGCATGCTAGGGTAGATACACTTGCGGTGGGGAAGCTCTCACTTAATCTTACTGGTTTTAGCGAGAAAAGTGTGTCTGTTTTTGGGAATAGTGTTAACCTTGCTATCAAGAATCTTCTACCTTTCACTCAATGTATACCCCTAACAGTGGATTATCTCAACACTGCTTCACTTGCCCCAAGAAAGGATTACCAGACGAACAGGTAATTGAAGTTTTTTACTTTGTGCTACTAGGGAAGGAATTCTGTGTCTAGCAATATTTCAATCTATGACCATCAATATCTTCATTGTTTTTTTCAACTTCATATGCTCAATCTGCAGACTGGTATCTGGAGTTCTGCAGCTAGCTGAGGGTTCACACTTGACAATTGATGAGACGCAGTTACAAGCAGGGACTCTCAACTCTATTGGGGTTGAAAATGTGAGATTGTTGAAAAGCCTAATGGAGTCCCAAAAAGTAATTTCCAACTTATTTCCTGTAGTATACATGCTTGTATATGTCTGTATGTATAGTTATCTTTCAGCCAAGGTTCATGAAAATTGTTATTTACACTCGAGAATTGGAGTAGTTTATTTCTTTTATCTACTACAGTAAACACATTCCAGAGTTTATGCAGTGCCTATGCTCCTTGGAGTGGCTAATAGCCTAATAGATTGATTCTACAGCCAATTTTCTAAGTAGTTACTATCTTTTTTGTTTTTCTTTTTTTTCTTGGTCAGGTGGAGTATGATTTTCAGTATTATAAAATGGAGATGGCAGCAGATGTCCGATTACTAATTTTGTCGGAGGGGAAATCAAACATCCTACCAGCAGATCTAGTTCTTCCTTTCCGTCCATCTTCGGTGGGTTCCTCTGAAATTGAGGATGCAGAAGCTGTGAAAGCTTGGAGATGGTACTTGGCTACTCTTGGATCCCTGCCACATTCTATTGAATCAGAAATGCTCAAGGTATGAGTTGACTCACTCCATTGTTCTTGCAGAAGATTAGGATTAGGATTAGGGAGAGGAGAAATATTCATTCCTCTATTACCAGGAAATAGGGTTTCCTGAAGTTTTCCTACTCTTGAAACATGTTGACACTTGGAACTTGACAGAAACCTTGCACCATGCTGATGAGAGTTTGAGCCAATATGAGCATTGTGTTATAGGTTAGACCACCTAAGCAGAAGTTGTTATGTGAAATGTTTACCCAAATAATTGATACTAAAGCTTGCACGAAAACTAAACTTTGTTGAATTAATGGGATAAGTTGATTAGTTGTGCAAGACTGGTTTCTTTTCCATTCAATATACATGAAACATTATGTTGGAAGTGCATTAGATTTCAATTCACTTTATAAGCATGTTCAGTTGGGGTTGGATTAGGATTCTGTTCTTTCAATGACCAATAAATGTGCGATTATCATTCTATTTCCTCCACCAATAAATGTGCCATTATCATTCTATTTCCTCTATATGCTCCATGCATGGTTGGAATCTGGGATTTATCCTTGGCTGTATGAAAATTTTCTTGCTACATTAATGACAGGATTATATTATCATGTACTGCTAATTTGCAGGTGGTAGAAGATGATTTGGTTGCAGCAAGGCAAGCAGATCGGAGCTTATGCAGCCGGGATTTTAGCAGGTTATTTGTATGTGCAAATCTTCATCTGTTTTCCATTTCGTCATTTTTGCACTGTCTAATCTTTTTTGCTTGCAGATGGCTGACAATGAGCCGTTTAATGTCCCTGAGCTTTGGTGAAACCTCCCTATCACTGGAACACTGGCAAATGGTCAAGGAACTTGAGAGGCTCAGAGGGGAGAGGCTCCGGTGTAGTTTTTAACCAATTTGTTTGGAAGGAAATAGGGTGTTAGTTGATGTAAATTATAAATTCATGGTATGGACTAGATTCAGTTAGTTGAATCATTTTGTATGCAATGGGAGTTGCTGCAATGAAGAAAAAAAAAATTCCCAAGAAATACAATGGGTGTCAGAATGGTCTCTTCTTGAGTTGGATCCATTTGTTTGATTTAGACTTCGAATTTGATTATACCAGTTCACTGCAAACAAATTGTGGAAAAATCAGCTGCCATAGATGTTCAAATGCTTGCAAAGTAGGCTATGTTAAGGATGGTGCAACATCCAATATGGTTGGGTGATGGGAGTGCAGTGATTTTCATCTCCTCTAACAGCTCCGACTCGCCTTTCTTTTCTTATATACATAATAGGTCCAAACCTCCTAAATAAATGTGTATGGTACACAAGCTATACGCCATACAAACACAGTAAACACCATTCCAAAACTAACACACACCTCTTATAGTCAAGATCAACAGTCTTGACAAGCCAAAGAAAAGGTGCTAGCTATAGAAGGAAAACTACCACAACAAAAGAAAAAAACATTGCTAGATAAAGACCCCATTATGTCAGTGGTGAAACCACCGGCGAGAGGACCAAACACACCAGCGTAGGCACTAGAGACGTCGGACGTCGGCAAAGGACGCAAATGCATCAGATCCACTCTCAGCGCAAAACACCAAAAAGCTCCATAAAGGAGCAGACAAACAAACCCAACTCCGGCTACCTAGCAACCATCTACCCCGAAAACAGCGTAGATCAGGAGATCGGGAACATAAACTCGCGATGAAACGTGAGACGCTGCTCACAGCAAAACCTTGACGACAGCGAGGAGAAGCAACAAAAAACGGCGTGAATCCACGCACTGAACAGACTATGTACAACACACCGAGATTATTAATCAGTGGGTGGCAGGAATCGATACCTCTCCACTCCCATGGGAGGGAGTGGGGAGGAAGTAGAGAGAGGAAGGCGAGGAGCGGCGGCTAGGATAGAGAGAGGCGAGAGAAAAGTTGGGTAGAGGAGAAGCATTCTTTAGAATTCCCATAAACTAGAAAGGGAATTTATTAGAATAAAAATAATACAAGGATTAAGTTAAGACTTGCTTGTCTTGCCGTCTATTTTGAGTCCGGACCCTCCAACCCCAAAATGATGAAGTCCGGACCCTCCAACCCCAAAATGATGAAGCCGGTGAACAAATCCAATCTTGTTTTTCCTCCCCGGTCAATTCAATACTACATTTCACAAAGAAATCATAAGCGGGTTCAGGTATACTATCTGTTCTTTGATGTTCAGTTCCTGATTCCTCAAACCTGATTCTATATTTGCTTTCCGAGAATGTGTTGAAAAGGGACAAAAGAAAATTTGAAGCTCAAATTTTGCATTGTCCTGGTTCAGTTTAAGATTTTGATAAGGGTAGGCATTGGGCGAAGGAGGCGATTGACTTCATCATGACACAGAGCAAGCAGCCATGGCATATAATTAGTTATAGGGAAGTTGTCGAAGTTAACTTTGATTGTATGTATAAAAGGTGCAGGAATGATAATTTAAGAAGACACATGAACACTATATCGAACTATACACTCCGGTACCAGCCAAGAATTTAAGGCCGGTTTGATTCAGATAACTGAAACGAAGAACATCAGTCATGTCTATAACCAACATGTATGTTAACAGTCACATTAAATAATATGTGTGATTGTCACCTGCAAGTCATTTGAAGCAGTAATTAGTTAAGTAAAAGTGTTGCAGCTTCCACAACGGAAGCTCTGCCTTTTTTGCCAAGAGCATTCACACTGGAAGCGAAAAATAAATATATAAAACATAGATGAAGTTTGTCACGCAACCTACAAAATAAGAGGCATTGATTTGAGGAACCTTACATGGCCCTCAAGCACACATGCCCCAACAAAGCTCACAGAAAGATTATACTATTATTCTCACAAGGATAAGCACACAAATGAAGTTACAGAGTCATAAAGTACTTGTATAAGAATATAAAACAATCTACAGAGTAAGCATACTTGGGAAGACTGCAGCCACCGTTGTAATTATGCTGCTTCTTGATGCTGCTGCTGTTCACCTTGCCAAGCCCAAACAATGTTGTTCAGAGCTGGTTTTATATCTCGTTTCAGTAGCCTCTGAAATTCCAGTGTACCGCTGCTAGACGTCTTCATCTCCACCAAGTGAAAGGATGGAGCAAATTCAAATATTTCTACATCAATGGACAATGCAACTTTTCTTCCTTCATTTGATCTCTCCAGTTTCAACAATCCTCCATCTTTCTTCTTTACTTGCAGCTTCAGAAGCTTGGAAATTTCCTCCAGTTTGGATATGATAACATGGGCAGGCTTTGTGGATGTAAATTGTACTTCTTCCTTTCGGTCATTTTCCACAAACAAACCAGACAAGTTAAAGCCCGACGAAAGAGATATAATATCAAATGCATTCAAATTAGTGAGCTTGGCCAACTCTTGCTTTGCCTCAGCAGCAGCACTGTTCATCCCACAAGGAGTACAAACTGCACCAGTATCCACTTTAACCATTTCACTGTGTTCTACTTTATTTCTTTTGGATTTGGAGTTGATCCCTTTTCTGAACCAAGGATTTTCCATAATTTTGGAAATGGAAATCCTAGTATATGCATTCGGGTCGAGGATTTTGGACAGCAGTTTGCACACTTCTGGCGAAAACCAATTAGGGAATTTATACTCTGCCTTGCTTATCTTCCTATACATCTCCATAAGATTTGAATCATGGAATGGGAGATAACCAGCTAGTAGAACAAATAAAATCACTCCACAAGACCAAATGTCAGCTTTGGCCCCATCATAGCCTTTTCCATTGATAATTTCCGGAGCAACATAGGCTGGGGTTCCACAGGTCGTGTAGAGTAATCCATCCTGACGCTTAGATTCAGCAAGGGCGCTCAAACCAAAATCTGTCACCTTCAGATTTCCATACTCATCTAGAAGCAAGTTTTCTGGTTTCAAATCCCGGTGATAAACACCTCTTCTATGGCAAAAATCAACAGCACTGATCAACTCTTGAAAGTACTTCCTTGCAACATCTTCCCTGAGCCTTCCTTTGGCTATCTTGTTAAAGAGCTCACCACCTTTGGCATATTCCATGATAAAGTAGATCTTGGTTTTGCTGGCCATGACCTCATAAAGCTGCACTATATTTGCGTGTTTTACCAGTCCCATTGCAGATATCTCTCGCTTGGTCTGATCAATCAGCCCAACCTTCAAAACCTTCTCTTTGTCAATTACCTTAACAGCCACACTTTGACCAGATTTAAGGTCCCTCCCATGATAAACCTTTGCGAAGTTTCCTTGCCCTAATAGTCTCCCAATATCATATTTTTGCATCAACACTTTATTCTTATTCTCCATTCCAAATCAAAAACCCTAATACACAACAATAAATTATGTTCTCCTGCTAATATATACTATTTACAGGAGCAGGAGTCCTAAAATTTGAAGACCTCAACCGTCTTCAACAAGGTCATTCCTCAACCCGAGAGGAAATCTGTAAGCTGAGGCTTCATTGTGCATCTCGGAACAAAGCTTAAATGTGCTGTCACTCGTGTAACCCACATTTTCAAGGATGAATACTGGAAGTCCAAATGGTGGGAAAATCTCAAAGGTTTCAGAGAAGCAACTATCAGCAATCAAGCACATCTTTCCGCATTCCCAAGTGTTTGGTTTTCAATGATATGTAAGATAACTCTGAAAGTAATAATTAAGAGAAAATGTTAAACATCTCCGTGCATTTGAAAATACATACAGGGAAAGAATTCAGTTCACCAGCAAAAACAGCTGACAAATCTGAACAAATAAATGAGCAAAAACAGCTGACAAATCTGAACAAATAAATGAACAAATGATCATGCTAGAAAAAAGGCATTTTGGCAGGTAGCTCAATGTATCCTTTACAGAACCAAAAAAAATTAAAATTGAAGCAATGATAAATATCCAGTTAGTACTAGAAAATATGACAGTAACATTTGCAACCAGACAAAGCCAAAAGCTAACTGTACCATGAGGAAAGAAAAAAAAGTGCCTGCTCGGAGTAAAAAAATCCTCCACATCTTCAATAACTATAGAAAGAAAAAATACTTGGGGAAAGAAGAATAAGATACTTTTGGACTACAGAAAATTGCATCCTACATTTGCTTCTTGAAACCAAAATATAGAGATATATATACATATATATTATAGCATGTATCCTATGGATAACTTTTTTCCCGGTTGTATTGTATATATTCGACTTTTTGTCGGCCCTCTTAGAGCACACATAGTACACCTCCAGGCACTTTCCCTCCCTCCATATGCACCAGACAATTACCAAAAATTCCCTTATTAGAGTGGCTCCAAAGAGATTTGAATTCCCAACCTCCAAGATGTGAGGTGGAGCCTTACCATTAGACTATCTCCTTGAGTCTACATTTATTATATATCAGATTAACTAATATTCTGTACATAAAGATATGGAAAATACGAGGTGCCAAACATGGCAACAACCCACAATCTAAAAAAAGGGATACAAAATTTGCGTAGGCAAGAAGTGCCGAACACAGCAACAACCCGGAATCTAAATAAAGGGGCCTGTTCATTTTAAAATCTATTTACAATATTATTCATATTCTTTATCAATTTAGATTTTCATTTTCCTTGGTTCAAGCTTTGCTTTTAGAATGTTAGTCTACTTTTAACATCAAGCTAAGGTGGTTGAAGCAGATTTTTAAGTTATTGATCAGACACCAAACCTTTTTATGGTAACCGGTTCATCCCAGTTCAAATGCACAGAACCCAACATACCAAACCAGTTAGGAAAATAATCACCACATTATAGTTAAAAGTAAAGACTTCCAAACATCAAATCTTATATAGTAATTAGAAAACACAGTTTCCTTCACAACCCAAGAAAAAAAAAAAATATATATATATATATATATATATATATATAGTAAAAGGAGTGAGGAGAGCAAACAGAGGAACACAATACGTCAGATAAAATTGAGAATTAGCAGATTCACCATTTTTAAAAAGAAAAAAATAATAAAAACACCAATTGTTCAAATCCACCAGATTCACAAAATAAAAATAAACAGATCAGAACAACAGACAGCATTCCCTATATATATGCATCTAAATATACATGTATAAACAGATTAGAATAGCAGACTGTACCCCTATATATATAGCGTGTTCTAAAAAATTGCAAATAGAAATAACATTGATCAATGATGCAACACTATCTCAACATAATTCAAACCTACATCAAATGATCAATACACGTGAAATGACTGCTACAACACAAAATATCTATTTTAAACATCAAGCTAGACTTTCAAATAATCACCACATTATAGTTAAAAATAAAGACTTTCAAACCTGAAATCGTAAATGGTGATTAGAAAACACAGTTTTCTTGACAAACCAACAAATAAAAATAAAAATAAAAATAAAAATAAAAATAAAAGTAAAAGTAAAAGAGGAGAGCAAACAAACAGAGGAACACAACTCAGATCAAATTGAGAATTACCAGATTCACGCATTTTTTAAAATAAAAAGACCAATCTTTCAACTCCACCCGATTCACAAAATTAAGATATACAGATCAGAACAGCACACCGCAACCCCCATATATATATATATACACACACACATCTAAATATATATGTATATACGGATCAGAATAGCAGACTATACCCTCTATATATATGCATCTATATATATATGTGTGTGTGTGTGTGTGTGTATGTCAGTATAGCTCTAAAAATTGCAAATAAAAATGACATCAATTGTTCATAGACGCAGCAATATCTCAACATAATTCAAACCTAAATAAAATAATCAATACAAGAGAAATGACAGCTACAACACAAAATCGAAAAAATATACCAGATTTGGCCTTAAACTCGTGATTTTAAGAACGTTCCAACACCAATACAATTCAACTCGAATGAATTAAGCTTAAAAATAGAAATAAAGAAACAACCCAACAAAAATTTATAGAAATTTATATGCATATAATATACATACATATATATTCAGGAAAACAAAGAAGAATAACCTGTGGAGAGAGAGTAGTAGCTTCAGACAGATCCGAAACTTTGAAGACAGAGAGAGAATCGAAAAATGGGGAAGAAATAGAGAAAAAACAGTGGAAAGCAATTGTGTCTGCTTTCCTAACGGTGTGGTTGTAAGCTTGTTTCGGCCGAGCGCTAGCTTAGCTGTCACAAACATAATGTTGACAATTCTTGATGTACGGCTATGATTGAAGGGACATTTTTGTATTTTACATTGCAGTTTTGTAACACAATTAATTATTTTGAATCCTATACTTTTCATTCTCAATACTATATTGTTTGAAATAGCAAGCGAGCCGACAAGCTCTCTCTCTCTCTCTCCTCTCGTAAATTTTTTTTTTTTTTTTTTTTTTATCTTAACCGACCGAATATTATATGAGTATATAGTGGTTGTGTTATAGACCACATGAACGAAGTTGTACAAAGGGCATTTTTTTTTTTTTAATGTTTTATTGAAAGCAATGTAATGACATCATGGCCCATAGGTTTTTATTAAATATACATACATTCAAAGTTAAATTCAAATGGTGCAGTATTAGGAAAGTATGAATTTGAAGTGAAAGACAATCTTTTTGATATCTATGTTTAATTGAATCTGGAAGAAAATATTGTCATTTGTTTTTCATTTGTATATAAGAAAGACTTTAACTTTCTTTAAGAAGCAATTACATATCTCTAAGTTTTAATAAGTCTTATTTTCATATATTTGTAAGTCACAGTTTTAATCGGGGACGGAGTTAGATTCAGAAGGCACATATGGTAAAAAAACAATGAAAAAAAAATAGCTGTAAGCCAAAACTAAACAACACAATAATCATAATCAATCAGAAATAATATAGGTTCTATATGTGTTGATAAAATTAATAATGATTCAAAACTAAACTAAACAACACAATAATCAATCAGAAATAATATAGCTTCTATATGTGTTGATAAAATTAATAATGATTCAAAACTAAACTAAACAACACAATAATCAAGCATAAATAAAATAGATTTTATATATGTTGACAAAATTAATTGTACTTGCACAACAAAAACCAGTTGCTAATCAATTAGCGAAACCAGGTTTAAAAGATATAAGAAATTAAAACTTTAAAGAAAAAATTCAATTTACTAATTTTTTTTAATTTGTTGTCATATAATCATAATATTGAAAAAATCTCATAATAGAGAAAATATTGCTAATCAATTATTAAAAAAAATTCAAAACAGATAAAAAGAATTGTAATTTTTTGTAACTGAGAAAAGTATGATTTTTTTTTTTTTTAATAAAAAAAATTCCAACTTTGTATGGAATAGAAAAGGTAACAGAAACCTAATTAAAAATCATAATTTTGCACTTTTATTCTTCTCTCCCATTATTCTTCTTTTTCTTGATGTTCTTCTTTCTCTTGATTCTTCTTCAGTTACAAACCCTAGCTAGAAGCAAAACAATAGCAACTCTAAAAATTCAAGAATTCAAGTTACTTAAAAATATAAAATACTTTCATCATACTTGTGATAAAATAAAAAATAAATCACAATCCAAACTAAATTTTCAAGATCAACCATTGTGGTCACCAATCAAACATTAAACAAAGAATTAAAAAATAAAATACTTTCATGGTGCTTTTGATAAAATAAAGATAAAAACTAAATAAGAAAAACATAATCCTAATGAACTTACAAGATGAAACACGATTGCCTCCTTTTGAGAGAAAAATCTGAACACCAATTACAAAGAGAAAATGAACAGATATAGTAGAGGTAAAATACATAATAAAAAATAAATAAAATGCTTTCATGATACTTTTGAAATAATAAAATATAAATCACAATGCAAACTAAATTTACAAAATCAATCATTGTTGTTACCAACCAAAATAAAAATACACAATAAAAAAATAAAAAAAAAAAAAAAAACAACAACAACAACAAAAGAAAAAAAATCATAATCCTATCTAACTTATCGGATCAAGCTAAATAATTACGTACTTTTAGTAATTTTTAGTCATGAAGAATTTCGAGTATAATAAGATTTATTTACGATAAAAAAAAATCATTCTTATATAACTTACCGAATCAAGCTAAACAATTACCTATTTTATTTTAGTTGGTAAGTTGTTTTAGCTACGAAGAATTCCGAGTATAATATGATTTATTTTAATTGGTAACTTCTAATTGATAATTTATTTTATTATTTATTTATTTTTAACGATGTCATAATAGGATTTATTTTAATCTGTAACTTGTAAGAGTATAATATGATTTATTTTAATGGATAACTGTTAAGTGGTAATTTATTTTATTATTATTAGTCCGTCCACTATCTCATTTTTAGATATCCCAAATAATGGCAACGGAGTGGAGTTGGGGTGAGTTTGGCTTTTGTAATTGTTATACCATCTCTACCCCTACTCCAATAGACAAAATACCGACCCCGCTCCATGTACTCCATTTAATTGCGGGGTGTGACGGGGTTGGCCGAGTTATGTCACTTTTATTATATAATAAAAAAAATATATTAGCCCAATATGCTCAAATTAGGCTGATATATAGGCTGACACAACTTTTAAATTACTAAGTATAAAATATTAATATATTAACAAACATTTCAGTAAAGTAACGAGAGTCCTAAAAATATAAAATATATATTTTATATATATATAAATTTTAAAATATACATTTATAATCGGGGCAGGGTTGGGTCGGGGCGGGGTCATCACTAAATCCGCCCCCGTCCCAAACCGTTTCGGATTTTCAATTATTTTACCATATTCGTCCCAAACCCATTTAAGGGCCATTAAATCTACCCCATTAGGGGTGGGGGAGTGGCAAAAACTCGTTGGGTCAAAGAAAATTGCCATCCCTACAAATTAGTTGTTTACTTTGAAAAGTCAAAGCAAATAAATCTTATTTTTCCATCATTATCATTTATATTTTCAAAAAATTTCAAACTTAATAACTATACATATTTAAACAAAAAAGGACAAGTTGATAATTTGCAAAAAGGGATAATGCATTAATTGCATGTCCCCCTAAAAACTTCAATTTTTAATCATGGACATCTAATATGGGACAGATGGAGTATTTATTTTTAATGATGATTTGAAATTCTTGACACCTTTTTTTTTTTTTTTTTCTTTTTTTCTTTTCTTTTTTGGAATATTAATCAACCCTCAAAATAAGTCAACGTACATGATGAAAACTAATTGAAAAAAATTTAAAAAAATTCAACAAAGAATAACAACGTGATATATATATATATATATATATATATATATATATATATATATATGTTTTGATTCAAGAGTGTATTTGCGTGGATATATTGGTTTTTGTTCAAATTAAATTTATACATATGGGTTTAGATGCACAGTCTTATCAAGGTATACACATTTATAAATATAGTGGTTGGTGGAGAGGGGGGTGATGGTGGGTGATTGAGAATGGAGAAGTGATGGCCATGGTTAGAGGGTGGAGGTGTAAGAGGTGATAGATGTGGAAGGAGAGATCAAGAGGAGAAAGAAAATAAATATATTAATGATAAGTTTATTATTTTTTAGAAGGTTATAATAAAGATGAGTTATTATGCTCGCGAATTTAAGAGCGAGAGAGTGAGAGTGGCAAAATTAATTTGAGAAAGAATGCACGAAAAATTGTGTGACTTAGATTATGTTACAAAAAATTGTAGTTTTAAAGCATATGGTAAGACTACATGGCCTCCACAACGGGAGGTAATCCAAGTCCCTTTGTGAGCTTTCTCTTTGGTCTTGGTCCTGACACAATCGTAAACTTACTTTATATGATTTGGAGTTTATAAATTTGACATAAATCTTTGCATTTAACCCATAACCCGTAATGACAAAAATCTGATTGTACACTCGGTTTATCTTTGCCCATGTACAATACGCTAAAATAAAACCATTTTAGAGAGGCCACCCATTTTTGAATCAATCGTCCACCAGAAGAAATAATATACTAGTATAGTAGTATTTGTTTTTAGTTTTGGATTCATTGTATTTGTTTTTGGTGTCTTTTTGCAGACAGTGTGTATTTGGGGTTTTCATGACCCCTTTGTAACGGCTATTAATTACTTATTTGATCAATAAAATAGTTGGTGATCGTTTACCAAAACATTTAAATAATTTCAGAGTAGTATAAAATAACATAATGGAGACAAACATGCCCACCAAAATTTTAAAAAAACGGTTGGTGAACAACACCATCTACAAAAAAACAAATCAAAACCAATAAAGTAAGAAAGTTGAGACATATAAACCCCATCACATCAATGCTGCATTTTGTCCGGTAGAGAACTCCTTTAAATATATGGCAAAGTTGTAAATTAATTAACAAGAGATCTAACACTCAACTTGGCACTCAACAATGGCTCTTCAGCTAATAAAGCGCCAACGACCTTTCAGCCGGCTAGGGGATCCTCGAGTTCATGGGAATATATGACTTTGATATTGTTGTTAGATCGGAAGGATCTTACTCAAAAGGTTAATTAATATATAAGACCAACATTATTTAGAGGGTCGAAAAATACGAGGACTATCAGAAATTTTATTATTTATTTAAGTTTGTATTTGAAATAGTAGCACATTAATATTCATCATCATTCCCACACATATGTAACGTCCAAAACTATACAATAAAAAAAGGGAGGAAAAGAAGGAAAAAGAGAGAATGGAAAGCCCCAGAGGGCTTGAACAAATTGATAAAGTAACGATTTGAGAGCGTTCATGTCTCAGGTTCAAACTTGTTCATCGCCATTATAAATCTTGATTGAAATTGTTACTGAGGTGTAGAACCGTCGATAATATTTTTGATTTATAAGTTGAGGTGGGTCCCACCCAGGTGAGCTCCAACACCAACTAAAAAAAAAAAAAAATGAATAGAAACAAACACACGACATTGGGGGACCGCTGGGGGGTCCTGGGATCAGTCCACCCACAAATGAAAAGAAAAAAGAAATAAAAAAATTGCAATTATAAAATGTGTGGTCAAAGTGTGTTTGTGCAAGTGTGTGAAAGGAATAAAAGATGGTACAATGTGTTCTGAACTCTGAAGTCGCTGTCTGCATGCATGTAAGGTGCATGTTTGCCTTCAGAGTTCAGACACGGAAATGTGTAATTGTAAAACAAAAATTAT